ATGTATATATATACAGCTTTTTAAAAAGGATTATTGTACAGGGTCTTTACAGTGGTATTTATATAGATGGATATTTATCTATTTATTTACTCACATTCATTTATTTACTCACATTCAGAATCAAATAATTGCTTCCACACAATATCACAAAGTGGTTCACCAGCTCCCTGTACTCAGCTTCTTGTCCATCTCTGATGCACCCGAGGACTGCAGTGTTATCGGAGCATTTCTGCAGAAGTCTGTGGAATTCAGAGTCCCCTGTGGTGCTCCTGACCTGCTAACTCCTTGATTAGACAGTTGACACTTCAGTCTAACAAACTATGGTCTGTTTGTTTGGTAGTCTTTGATCCAGGCAACTAATCATGCCTCCAAATTAGTCTGCTGGAGTTTCTTTTAAAGAAAATCTGGCGGAATTCTGTTAAATGCGCTGGAGAAATCAAAGAACATCAAAGCAACGTCAAAACAACCACAGACTAAACCCTCCACCATTGGAGATAGGGCCTTCCAGACAGACGCCCAACAGCTCTGGAATGCCCTCCCAGTGACACAGAGGGCCCCACAAACTGTGAAGGTCCCTAAGAAGGTCCTAAAGACTTTGGTATTTCACACAGCCTTTAAACACAGACAACTTTAATTTTTGCTCTATGTTCTTTTATTGTTTGTTGATTTTTTTTTTCTTATATCTTGGAACTGAAGTGTAGCACTTTCAGATTTCATTTAAAATCTAAAGTGAATCACAAATAACATGTATTATTATCATATTAGTCTTTGCGCTAGATAAACACACAGAAGAGGAAAGAACAGAGGAGACTTCTCTGAAACAAATGTATCTTTACAGAACGGTCTGGTGGTGATGATATTGGCTTCAGGGATAGAAAATCTTCAACACATCCTAAAGCACAGATTACCTATTACATTTACTCGCTTACCTCTTTAAGAATGAGATCTGAATCCCACCGCAAATCTTTGGGTAACTGAAGATGGCCTGCACTCTCCCTGTGACTGTTGCTGCTGCAGAGCTTTTCCAAACTCATACATAACTACCAGAGATCTTTCATGGTTGAATGATGGAGGGGGTTAGCAGTGATTAGTATTAATAACAAAGTCGTCTCAGTTCTCCTACAGCGAAGTCATTGTTAAGGACAAACAGAAAAGCAGGAAGCACCGGTTTTGAGTAATGTTGACGAAAAAAAGTTTAACAAAAAAAATGAGATCCAGTATTGTTCATTTAAGCCAGCATATATTTATCATTGCAAAGGTGAAACACACATTATTGTCAATGTTCCTGCCTGTTTTAGTAGCACAGAATTTCATAAACTACTTCAGAAACAGGGAGAGACTCACAGATACTTTTCACTCACAGGAGCATTGCTGAAATAACCTTGAGTCTAAAGGAGTATAGTCTCTGCCCAAAACATCTAAAAACCGGAAAACAGCTTCTGAGGCAACCATAAGGCAAGACCCACATTCGACCTTTTACCCACTTTAAATAAATGCAGTCTAGTTGATTACCTGCTTCAGCACTCATAATCGATATAAAAATGTACATGATAGAAAACAGATTTTTTTTCAAGGACAGGAGTAAACAAAGTCATATAGTTGGTACAGGTAGTTTATATTTTTTTTTAAATGGAGCCTTTCCATTTAGTGATAGACATTTACATAGTCTTAAGAGCTAATTCTTAAGAACATGCTTTAATTTTGAATTTCAATTTAATAATTTAATTTAAATTAATTATTTTTATCTACCACTTATTTTATATTTTATTTATTACTTCCACTACAAGGTTTTGTTCACGTTACTGTTGTTTACATACTAGTTGATTTTGTTAGTTTCAGTAACATTGATTGAGTTTATAGTAGGTGTGTGAGTCCTCTGGTTATTGAACTGTTACAGAAATCAATACTACTGGCAGAAATAGAGAGCTTTAAAATCATTTTGCTGAGGGCCCCATAGAGGCTTGAGCTAGTCCTGGTTAGAGGACATCTTCAACTCCAACAGTCTTTCTAGGGCCTTCATGCTGTGGGTTGTCAGGGCAGCAGGTTTATAGTTATGAAGGAATTTTGGCTGAGTTTTCTTTGGCCCCAGAACAAGGAAGGAGGTCTGCAACATCACTGGAACTGTCTCCAAGGTCAGGCTAAGGTTGAAGAGGTTCTGTAGAATCCCACAGAGCTGCTCTGCAAATGCCTTCAGGACTCTGAGGCAGACACCATCTGGACCTGATGATTATTCCAGTTTAGACTCTTTAGTTGACTTCTAGAAAAGAATATAGGTTGAAAAAGGAGGGAGTAGCACCATCTTCTGATTCGGTTGAGAACAACTCCACAGAAGGATAAGGGTCTATGGCAGAGGGGGAATATATACACTGCAAAAAACATCTAGAAATAAGTAAAAAAATGTCTTAAATTAAGTGTATTTATCATTAATTTGAGCAGGTAAATAAGATGATCTGCCAATGGAATGAGTATTTTTACTCCTAAAATAAGATGATTAGATAATATACACTTGAAATAAGACAAAGCAATTGTTTTTTTCTTATTTTAAATGTAAATTGTCTTGTTCCATTGGCAAAGTGTCTCACTTACCTCCTAAATTCAAGAAAAATGCACTTAATTTGAGCAAAAATGACTTATTTAGATTTACATTTTTTGCAGTGTAATATTTTAAGATTAAAGGGAAAGCTATGCGTTAAGGGAGGATTGCAAGTCTCTTTGAATGTGGGTAGGAGAGAAGAACGCTGAGGTTATTCCTGAGCTGAACCTATTTAAGGACGTGTACAGTTCATATGTCCAACATTTTCACATCCACATCACCTTTCATGACCTGTCCAGTTACATGATACCAAGATTAGATATTTAGGCATTGTAGAAGTTGAGAAATGCTTTATAATGTATGAGTATAAATTTTTTAGAGAATAGACATGAAGAAAATTTGCTCCCCTGGAGAATATTAGGGGGATTTTCTTAACATAAAATTTAAACAATAATGCTGTAATGGTAAAGCCTACTGTCAATCACATACATTTCTTATGTGCATTCATTTACCTTACACATCTTATAGCTTCAGATGATCTGTAATGCTGACTGCATCTCCAGCAACACTGAGGCAAAGTGTCCTGATTGAGTCCTGTCTCCGCTGGATCCCATCTAAAACAGCCCTCCCATTGTTTATATATAGGAACTGCTCATGTGCTGGCATGAACTCTGGGGATGGAGAAATTTGCTTTTGTGAAACAGACCTCTATACACACCTGTGTGTGATGGCATTAAAGCATCGACTCTACCAAACTGGTCCATGCCTTTTAAGTCCTCCCCAAACTTTAATTGATGTTAACCTTTTTTTTTTTTTTTGCAACATTTT